GGAAGCTGTCCTTCTGCCTATATATCTCTCAATAGCGTAGTATGAATCCTAGGTAATATGTATAATTGCAGTCTCTTTCTATGGACCATAAACAAAGTACTAATTAAAAATAATCTTGATTTAATAAAGAAATTATGTTCAGTTTTTAAATGGTTTATAAAGTATAGAGAAACTAGAAATAAGGATGTTACATCTAGTATGGAGTCTTTGACCTCTGGGATCAATGAAAAGATATATCATTCTTTATTTTTCTAACAGCTTCTCCCAATCCGTACCGACTGACAAACCTAGGTTCAACAGCTGTTCGTCTTTCTAATATAATAAACAAAATCGAAAAATTATTTTACATTTACTGATTCACCTAGTTATGTCCTTTCGTGCATGAAGTTTCTGTAAATATATTATATCAAAATTTATTGAAAATTTTGATATAATATATTGGGGCATAGGGTGTTTCAATATTAAGTCTTAATTAGGTGTGGACTGTAGAGTGATTCAACTGTTTAATAACAAAGGAAAAACTGTAGATACAGTTTCTAGGGTTAAGGCACAAAACCAGGGATCTTCTCTCTTCCATAATAGAAATTAATATTTAATTGCATATAGCTAATTAATTAGGTAACCCTAAGCTTACTTTCGCAGCATGTAATATGATAGTTTTGTGGGTGAATGAATCTAAAGTTAACCCTAAGCTTACTTTCGCAGCATGGAGAAGGTACTAGAACGCTACGAGAGGTACTCTTATGCCGAGAGACAGCTGAAAGATCCTGATCACTCCCACGTTAATGTATGTTTGATCTCTATCAAATGTTTATGTAAATGTTGGATCTTGCATGCGTTTTAACCTAATACAATAATGAAAATTTATTGTGGAGGCACAGATGAACTGGTCAATGGAATATAGCAAGCTTAAGGCTACGATTGAGCTTTTGGAGAAGAACCAAAGGTATGTACATGTATATATATGATTTTAAAATAAATTAATCAAACATTTAGAATTAGCATGAAAGAATGGTATATCAGGCATTATCTGGGAGAAGATTTGGAATCAATGAGCCTCAAGGAGCTCCAGAATCTGGAGCAGCATCTTGACACCGCTCTTAAGCACATTCGCTCCAGAAAAGTATGTATATTTATATTTATATTTTTCCTAAGCATATGTACATGCACACTCTCTATGCCTAGCTAACTTTGAGTTTGTGAGG